ACCATGAGGAGTCAGACCTCAATCCAAATCCTACTTAGGGCAAGTGACTTAAACTTACTAAGCTTCACTTTCCCTATAAAATAGACATTATAATATATCTTTAGAATGTAGATTGTGTCTGGTAGAGTGTGAGCAGAGTGATCAAAACTTGTACTAAATAACTTAACTTCCCTCTTCTCTCTGTCATTTCCGCCATGTAAATAGTAGAGCATGCTTTAGTGTCTATCAAAGGTCCACCTTACCACAACCAGACTGCTGAGTCCCAAAAATTAAATAGCATAAATTACTATATATCAAGAGTGTAAACGTTTTGTAAAGAGACAGTAAATATTTCGGGCTTTGCAGGCTTTACAGTCTCTGTCACAACTACTCAACTCTGCTGTTATAGGGCATAAGCAGCTATGGACAATATGTAAGTGAATTAGTGTAACTATGCTAATAAAATTATTTACAAAAGCAGGTAGTAGGTGGAATTTGCCCCCAAGACTGGTTTTCCAAGCCCTAATCGGTATTATCTTTGCACAGAGATTTCATAGTTTAAATGCAATTTTCCTTTTTTAAAATGAACTTAGTGAAAGATACCTCAGTATGAGTTGAACAGTAGAGTCACAAGGTTGTTTTCCAAAATTAATATACTATTATTGTAGAAGATAATGGATTTTGTATACCACAGTTTAACATTACAACTTTGCTTTAATGCTTACCATACTTTTAAAAAATATATATATTTTATTGATTTTTACAGAGAGGAAGGGAGAGGGATAGAGAGTTAGAAACATCGATGAGAGAGAAACATCAATCAGCTGCCTCCTGCACACCCCCTACTGGGGATGTGCCCACAACCAAGGTATATGCCCTTGACCGGAATCGAACCTGGGACCCTTCAGTCCGCAGGCCTACGCTCTATCCACTGAGCCTAACCAGTTAGGGCAGTGGTCGGCAAACCGCGGCTCGCGAGCCACCTGCGGCTCTTTGGCCCCTTGAGTGTGGCTCTTCCACAAAATACCACGTGCAGGTGCGCACATACAGTGCGATTGAAATTTCGTGGCCCATGTGCAGAAGTCAGTTTTCAACCTGGGCGAGTCTATTTTGAAGAAGTTGCGTTAGAAGAAGTGGGGGGGTGTCGGTAGGGTGACAGGAGACACGGCGCAGGCGGGCCGTGGGATACACAGTGTGGGGAGGCGCGCACGATTCATGCATGAGATGAGTGAGCCAGTCAGTCAGCAGTCTCATTGTGCAGTGGTTAGTGCTAGTCGCGTCCACAAATAACGCGCAGGAGACAAAAGATAGACGAAACAAGTATACAAGACGAGTGTGGATGGGAGATTTGGAAGGGGTCGACCTCAGCGAACGTACCTCAATCAGATTGAGGACATTTTTAGCAAAGGCCAGCTTAGGAGTACCCTAATTAAGTTAATAACAATGTACCTACTTATATAGTTTAAGTTTAAAAAATTTGGCTCTCAAAAGGAATTTCAATCGTTGTACTGTTGATATTTGGCTCTGTTGACTAGTGAGTTTGCCGACCACTGGGTTAGGGCATGCTTACCATACTTTTTAATACTAAACAGTAAAGACTTGGTCTTACCAAAAATTTAGATAAGTTATACTAACAATGGTCAATGAATAATAACAAAAGATTGACTTTTGTATTCTCGTTTGGAAAACCATGGTGTGTTTTGGCTATGTAAAATTTATGAGGATTGCTCTGTAAAGAAACTACCCAATATTATTTATTCCTGTATGTGTATTTCCCAAAATTATTTAATCACAGAATTCCTTTCATAACACCTAATGATATCCCTATAACTACTATTCAGAGGACAGTAGTCTGAGACTATCTAGTTAAGATTGGGAAATTAAGAGCTGGAAACTTTAACTGACTTACGAAAGATCATGCAGTTTCTTGGCAGCAATTCTGGAAAAGGTACTTGAATCTTTTCCTCATGCTTATAGAGAGTCTACTTTTTCTTAAGTTTACTTTTGCTCTTAGCTTTTAAAAAAGCTATTATTTGAGCTCAAGCTGGTTTTGCTTAGTGGGTAGAGATTCGGCCTGTGGACTGAAGGGTCCCTGGTTGGATTCCCATCAAGGGCACTGACCTTGGTGTGCGGGAGGCAACTAATCAATGCGTCAGTCTCATATCAATCAATGTTTCTCTCTGTCTCTCCTCCTCCCTTCAATGGAAAAATATCCTCAGGTGAAGATTAACAACAACAACAAAAAAGCTATTGTTTGAAAATAATTTCAAACTTACAGAAAAGAAAAGGAGTATTACACCCGTATTTACCTATTATTAACATTTTGTGCCACTGCCTTTATGATTTTTTTTTCCACACACTTTCTGTCATTCCTGCACACATGTATTTTTTTTTCAAGCCATTTGAGAGTAAGTTGCCTATATCATGAACTTAAATATTTCAGTGGTGAGGGAGGGGTAATCTTTTTATGATGATGACATTTCTTAAGATCACAGTCCCTTTGATTTTTTTTTTTTAAATGGATATCATTTGGGGTTTGTCTGATGTTTTCTCAGTTAGATTTAGGTTTTGCATTCCTAGCTAGAATATTACAGAAAAGATGCCGTACTCTCATGGCATCACATCTGAAGGCACATATATCTATCTGTCCCTCAATAATAATGTTAATTTTGATCACCCAGTCAAGGTGTGGTCCAGTTTTCTCCACTGTATAGTTACTCGTTTTCCCTTGCAACTAATGAACAATCTGTGGGGAATATACATATTTTTGAGAGTCAATATAAATATAGTGAAGTTGTTTAGAGTTCATACAGCTGGGTTTGAATTCAGCTCTGAATGAACCTAGGCAAGTTTACTGATCTATGAAATAGAGAGGGTATTGCCACCTCTTTTTCTAGATGTGTGTGTAATAGTATTGTTTTAAGCTTTAAATGAAGCAAGATTTGTGAAACTCAAGCCTGGCATGTGATAAATGCTCAGTACATGTTAGCTTTTATTATTTTAATTCTAGAAAGATGAATTAATAGGCATTAATAAAGCCTAAGTGAAGTTATTAAAGCTTTATAACCCAAAGCTAAAAACGACTTCCAAAGTCATTTCTTCGAAGTATATTAAAATTTTATCCAAGATAAATGCCTTTTTAAAACAATTATTGAGGTTTTTCTTACGTTTGATGTTCTTCCCTACCTGTAGTGTCCTGCCCCTTCTGGTATGTATGAGAAGGGTAGTTTAGGAGTGAAAACCCTGTCAGGAATTTTTTTTTTTTTTTTGATTCTGGCTTGCTTGGTTTTCAATTTTATAAGGATTTTAATTGGGTCTTTATGAAATAGACATTTTAAAAATTACCCCTACTTGTTTTCTGTGTTACCATTGTGGTAGTATTACATAATAGTTGTGAAAGACTTTCTAAAAGAGGGGTGACATCTTAGTAGAATTATAAAGAACACAGAGATTTGTATGATTAAAGACAGGAAACATCACCAATAGGTGTTATAGAAAGTTATATGGCCAGAGTGTGAAATTCAGGGTGGAAAGTGGTAAGGGGTTGGACTGGAAGGATTAGGTAAAGCTAATCATGAAAGACCTTGTTTGCCATGCCAAGGAGTTTGAATTTTATCACAAAAGCAACAGAGAGCCAAGGATTAAGCATGACAGTGGCATGATCAAATTCTTTTAGACCACTGGCAGTAACTGCAGTAACTGTAGAAGGGAATTTGAGAATAGTATGCTTGGGTAAGAAGACTAGTTGCTGCCTGAACTATGACAATAGCATGAAAAAAATGAATGAAATCTAGAGGATCTGATGCCTAATTTAGAAATGGGGAAGTAGGAAGAAGGAGGTGGAAAAATTAAGGCTTCTAGCTTGGATGACTGGATATATGATGGTTCAATTAATTGTAATAGGTTAACAGGAGGAGGAACAGACTTGCAGAATCACCGGATGGGAATGTTGATGTTCTGAGAGAGCTATTTTTGGAACATATAATAAGAGATATTTTATACATGTGCCTAGAGTTCAGCAGAAATCTGGGCTAGAAATTAAGATTTCTTTATCTGGTCATCAGCATACAGGTGGTAATTAAAGCCATGATAGTGAATGAAATTGCAAGAGTGAATATGTACAAGGGCTAAGGACTTAAGACTTTTTACAGCTTTCATTTGTATTAGATCATCTAAACACTAGAGGCCCGGTGCACGAAATTTGTGCACTCGGGGGAGGGAGGTCCCTCAGCCCAGCCTGAGCCCTCTCGCAGTCCGGAAGCCCTCGGGGGTTGTCTGACTGGCAGCTTACATCCGCTCCCCCTAAGCCGTCAGTCGGACATCCTTAGGGCTGCCTCGGAGGTGGGAGAGGTTCCCACCACCACCGCTGTGCTCACCAGCTGTGAGCCTGGCTCAGGGCTTCTGGCTGAGTGGTGCTCCCCCTGTGGGAGCGCACTGACCATGAGCAGCTCCTGCGATGAGCGTCTGTCCCCTGGTGGTCAGTGCGCGTCATATCGACCTGTTGTTCTGCCATTCGGTTGATTTGCATATTAGCCTTTTATTATATAGGATCTTTTATTTCTAGAAGTTTCACTTTGCTCTTTTTTCTTTTATATATATTTTTATTTATTTCAGAGAGAAAGGGAAAGAGAGATAGAAGCATCAATGATGATGATGAGAGAGGATCATTAATTGGCTGACACCTGAATGCCCCCAATGGGGATCAAGCCAGCAACCCAGGCATATGCCTTTGACTGGAATCAAACCCAGGACCCTTCAGTCCACGGGCCGACACTTTATCCACTGAGCCAAACCAGCTAGGGCACACTTTGCTCTTTTCTATATCTTCTATTTATCTCCTTATTATGTTCATGCTTTCCTTTAAGTTCCTTAACATATTTATAATAACTGTCTAAAATTCTTGTCTGCTTTCAATCATTATTGGGTTTTTTTTAGTCTATTTATATTTCCCGATTTTGATTCCCACTTTCCTGCTTCTTCCTAGTAATTGCTAAGTGTCTAAATTTTTTCTTCTTTTAAAGAGCACCTTTACTTGGAAGACAGTTAAATTGCCTGCAGATCAGCTTTCAAGACTTGAATGTAAGCTCTGTTGGTATGGACTTATGGTGGCCTTTAATCTAGGACTATTTAGCCTTAATATCAAGGCATGGCCCTTCTGGGGTCTCTATTAACTGTACCAAATGTTCAAAAAGGTCTCATTGCTGTGTGGGATCAGAACTCTACCATCTCTCAATTCTTTGTTAGTGCTTGGACTTATTTAGCCTATAGCTTCCTAGTAGTTTGTTCTGTACTCAGTAATTGTTCTTGGACCAACCACTTGAAATCTCATTCTAAGTGTGCAGGGCACAGTATGCAGCTAAAGTGAGACCCCATGCACATGTTTGGGGCTCTTTATCTGGGCAATGCCCTTCTCTTTGATACACAGGTCCACAAAGTCCAGCCATTGCAGCCTCCCTAATCCCCGATCTGTTTCCCCAACTCAGTGAGACCACCATGCTCTGTTTAGAATCCCCTTCCGTTTACTATATATGATCCAGAAAGTTGCTCCAGGCAGAAAATCAGGGACATACATATTAGGGCTCTCTCCCTTCTCTCAGTGATCAAAATTCTGCATTGCCAATTGTCCAATGTTTGCAAACAGATGTTTCATAGACTTTGTCCGGTTCTTCCTTTATTTACAATGAAGAAAGGCACCTGGGACCGGGGCTTTGCTCCGGCAGCCAGCAGGCACCCAGGACTTGGGGTTCCCTCACAGCCCTGGCTTCGTCCAGAAGGACGTCCGATCTAATTAGCATATTATGCTTTTATTATTATAGACTAGTGCCCCGGTGCACAAAATCTGTGCACATTAAAGGGGAAATAATGAGAGGAAATATTATAATATTGCTATTTGCCCTTTCTCTATAATAGAAGTGTCAGAGATGAAAGAAAATTAGTAAAATGTATATGAAAATCTTCCTCCTGTCAGAGTCTGGG